ATGTATATATATATATATATATAGATAAAACTGAACAAAAATTGTAGAGATCATTTTTTAAACAACCACATAAAATTTCGAGATATTAATAAAAATATTTGAATAAATTAGAGCGCGACAGACGGGACAGACGGCTCGCCGCGGCCGATGAAGAAAATGGACGAGCGCACACGTACACGTACGCACATACGGAGCTACCCATTTCCGTATGCCAAACGGCCCACCTCTCTGGTCTATAAGATAGGTCCGTCAGCAATCGTCCATTTTTTTCGCCGGCCGCGGGGAGCGGCCTGTATACAGGGACACCCTGAGATCCTATACATGTACAGGATGTCCGAAACCTTCCCATATAGGGTTTTACAATCGGTACTGAGCTAATACTGGTTGTCGGAGTTCCAATATTGGCACAATACTGGAAAAATTATTGGCGCAGTACTGGTGGATAATCGGATGATAACTTCGGCTCAGTACTGGCAAATGGTACTGACCCAACCGTTGTTAGCCAATATTTCCTCAGCATTGACAGTACAATCGGTTCAGTACTTAGACAGTACTGGTCGTCAAATTTGTAATACAGTGAGAAAATCATAATATTATACAAAAATATATTTATAATTTTTAATTTTCTCATGTCTCATAAGCCGTTAGGAACCAAAGATTATTAACAACACGCTCCAAACTTTCGCAAATCCTCCTTCGATAATTTTGATCCCAAGCGGCACCCCATCCATGTCCTGACTGCTTAACTTGACGGTCGAGCGGCATGCGGTGATTCCAATGACTCTAACGATGTTCTTACGATTTATGCTTATATAATTTATTCTTATAGTGTTCACAGTATATCATAACATACCTAGCAAACACCAAATAACAGTTATATAACTTTTATTTAGTGTTTGTTGCATAATTTATTAATAGATATTGAAGCAATACAACATTCGATATGCAATGGATATTGATATAATATAGTGAAGTAGTGATAATTACTTTTAGATTTTTAACAGAATGTTATAATGATTAATCCAAATAAAAAACTAAAAAGATCCAAGAAAATCCAAATCAAATAAATTGAATTATTAAATTTTAAAAGAAACTTTTAAAGAATACTATTTAAAATAATAATGTTGTTTCATAACATGGTTTCCTTGGACGAAATAAAAGTTTTTTATTTTCATCATTTTAAAAAATGATATTACGTTTAAAAATATATTTTAATGAAACAAGCCAAAATTGAACAAGTACAAATATTAAATTTAAAGAAACATTTTTCTCCGAAAAAACGGTATAAGAAGTATAAAACATATGTAATGAAACGAATTCTAGCCAAAAAAGAATTAATGACTACCACTAACAAGTACTATTCTAAGTACTATTCTATTTGCCAGTATATGTCAATGGCTAAATATTGGCTAACAGAGGTCCGGCCAACGATTGGGTGCCATACATTGGCCAAGCGTCAGCGTTCGGCAGTCTTTCATTTGCTAGTAATAGCTGAATACTGGCTGACAGAAGTCCGGTCGATAGTTAGCCGCCAAGCGTCGGCCAAGCAGTCGCCGAAGGCCTTCGGCAGCCAGTCATTTGCCAGCATTGGGCTGGTACTGGCTAAAAGAATTCTGGCCGATAGTTAGGTGCCATAACTTCGGCCAAGCGTTGGCTTCGTTGTTACTACTAGCGACTCTATATGGGTTTCTTGACACAAATCGTAGGAAAGTAGAACGGATTAAACGGAACAGAAAAGTCAAATATCATTTTGCGAAACTCGCAATAGTTTTCGAGTAATTAATTATTTTGTCTGATCAAATAAGCGCTCGGGTTGGCGCGCGACCGTGATACACGCAAATCGCGGCTCGCTGCGTCTCTTCGCCCATAGCTATGCTGTGTAACTATGGTAACTATGGCTACGAGATATATTGTACTTATGGGCGAAGGAACGCAGCGAGCCGCGATTCGCGTATATCATGGTCGCGCGCCAACCCGAGCGCTTATTTGATCAGACAAAATAATTAATTACTCGAAAATTGTTGCGAATTTCACAAATCCGCTGCGCTCCTACGTCTTGCCGCACCGTGCTGAGACGAGACGTAGAAGCACAGCAGTATAAGTATAGGAAGTAGTGCATTGTCTTCCAATTGCCACGCGCGATATCCGCGCGCTATATTACTGGGCTGCGCTGTGATTCGAGCGGTCCGTCCTCTACCATTCAGCACACGCTTTTCCTTAATCTTTCGTAATTAATTTCTCAGTTATTATTACGAATATCGCAAAACAGTATAGGACTTTTATATTTATTTTAATCCGCTCTACGTTCTCACAAGAGCCTCGTAGATTGTTCTGAGACACCCTATATATATAACAAAATATCAATAGTTGTATGTTTTATTCTATAATAACTCTATAATAATAAACTCTATAATAACTTTGTAATAAGATCAAAGGAACATAATATTATTTCTTAAATAAATAAGTAGGATATTTTATGATAACATAAAATTCTTATGTGTTGCCGTGCTTGCCACACACATGTTGTACTATGTATAACTATGTATATGTCAAAATTGAATAAAAGATCCCTCTACCACTTTGCGAACAATCGCGTAAAATTTTAGTTGCAAATGATCATTCGTCAATTTTCTTTAATTAATAGCTCAAAATTTTACGTAGTTGTTTACAAATTGGTAGGGAAATTTTGCATCCAATTTGACCTAATCTATACGTATGTGAAATTTTCATATGGATCGTCAAACATTCCTCTCCTTCCTTTTATACAGGGTGTCCCACAACTGGTAGAACATCCGTTAGAGGGGTAGGTAGGGGATGCAATTTGAAACTAAAAGGTTCCTCTTCCATTTTTTAATCCGACAATTAGTTAATGAGATATTAATCAATTAAGTCTGCCAATCCCTTAGCGTCCTGAGTGAACCCTCAGGGACGTAGGACGCCGTGGACTCTTCAGGGGCCTTGCTTGTCTGTTTTTCTCCCCTTTTTATACACACACACTAAAATCATTTACGATACTTAACCATCGACATGTGGAAAACTTTTAAGTCACCCGCGCACTCGAAGGAAGCATACCACACATGTCCTCACTCTCCGACACATAAAGTGCAATCACTCCGCCCACTTGCACTAAAAATATTCAAATTATCCATGCAATCATAACCGCACACAAAAACACCCATACTCACTCCCATACATTGAAAACTTGCCACCCCCTAGCCCCGATCAAACACCCATCCACTCACTCACTCACTCATCCATATTTATTTCTCTGTGATATAAAAAAAGGGAGAAAAAGCAAGACCCCTAACAACACAAACAAGCAGGACCCCTGAGGAATCCTAACCGCGGTCTACAGCTCTGAGTGCTCACTCGGGGCACTAAGGGATTGGCAGATTTAATTAATTAATATCTTATTAACTAATTGTCGGATCCAAAAATGGAAGAGGAACTTTCAGTTCCAAATTTCACACTTTACCTACCCCTAACGGGTGTTCTACCAGTTGTGGGACATCCTGTATAGTAACTTTAGTCGTAATTTTTGTATGGTCCAACAATTTTCATATGGTCTATTACAAAATTTTATTGTAATTTTTATTATATTATTTTCTCCGTACATATCACTACAGGCGCTGCATCAACATCACAAATGCTCGTTGTCCACAAGTAGTAGTTAATCAGATTCAAAACACAGATATTGCGCGCGCACATAAATTGTAAATTGTGATTTTCGGCTGAAATTATTCCCGAACGCGAAATGCAATCTTACCATCGAGAATAAATAAACGCAACACTAAAGTGCGGAGCATTTCTTTCATCGAATTACTGACAGGAGATCAAGAGAATTCAGATTTCAACTATCTGTATTATGATGTGTTATAGGGATGTGCTGAGCACTACCTGCGAACGTCGCGGTGTCGATCTGTCGCGCATCGACGTTCTGGACAGTTTTTCGACGCCGCTACCTCTGCTGACGACAGATACCTCCATTCTTGGTGGGAAACAACTACGAATAATCGGTGAGTATTTGTGAGTACTGGCGAATATTTATTTACGGCAAAAGTCAACACAATTGTGAAATTGGAATTAAACATTGCACAAATAATAATTGAATAGGCAAATAGTCTTAAGAACGGGGAAGAAAAATGTGAGAGAGAGAGATTATTTAAATTTCTACTAGAAAACCGGACATATTTTTAACGAATGTCCATGTCTTTTTAAAAAAGACGCTTAATATCTAAATTGTTAATTGCATTGGCATGCAATATGTTTAAATTAAAGTTCGTCTCCTCTCTCTCTCTCTCTCTCTCTCTCTCTCTCTCTCTCTCTCTCTCTCT